TATCTGAGCATAGATTTCCGTAATAAACTTCTATCAGTAGACCTGTTTTCATAATTAGGAGTGCGCCCTAACATGTAGGGTACAAAACACCTAGTGTATGCCCTCGCGTCTTTCCCCTTGCCTCCCCTGTCCATCGCTCAGCCTCCGTCTTCTTCTACCGCCCCAGCTATCTTCCCTGCCGCCTTTCCTCAGCAGTCTCCCATCCCCTCTCTCCCTTAGCAAGCTATATTATGAAGTTTTTCTCAGACGGCACTGCACGCCTAACACGGTGCGTGCGCATGCGCAATATCTCCAGAGATAAATCGTATTTTCCAAAGATTACGCATTTAAAATGAAGAGGAGTTATCCTAGCATAGATTTATATGATAACATTCTATCAGTAGACATCATTTAATACTAATTATTACTAATAATAGGCAAAAGAGAGTATCAGCCAACACTCTTTGGCAATGGGAATTTTCTAAACCTAAAGAAATATTTTTTTCTAATAATTGTCGATATAATTTTCGTTTTAACGAATCATACATGCAACTTGGTATATAAATTTCAAAATAGAAAATGTGGATGTTAGTCGTTTTATTAACCATTTAAAAATAAAATGGAAATATTATAGACGTATACAGACTTATATAGATATACAGTCAAGCAATTTGCCATGTAACTGCTCAATATCGTATACGTGCACGTTTTTGGCAGTTATAATTTTTAGTTATTCGAAATATACATTTGGATTGAGCGTGTATTGGATTGGAAGTACCTTCATGCTAATGATGTATACATTAAAAAAATAAAACCACCCAGTCCAATAGATATCCAGATTCCTTCATAATCTCTATCACTTGTTGTTCCCATATTATTTGACAGCTTACCCAGCCAAAATATTTGTAGCTTACTTTGAAACTACAACAAACACTTGCGAATTGTATTAGTTACGAGCCAGTTGTATAATGTATAGACAATTATACTAGACAGACTCTGCAAGCCACTGAGAATCAATGTCCTTGTCCACAGTCCCTGTAACCTCTGCTACAGGAACATTTTGAATTACGTTTACATGACACAATGACTTAGAATTCAGTGACATTCGAGTTTTCACGTTTACTTGTGCGTCGACATTTACCTCCGAGTGACCATATGTATACTCATGCAAAGTACATGCATACTTTTGGTCATAAATAATAAATATGCTCATATCCCTAGATGGTGAAGTAGCTCTCACCACCCTCTAACTCTAGCACCTGTCACTATAGGGCGTGCTAGTTGTGGAACCCAACCAACCCATAGTTCTACCGCTTGCTACTAGATTGCATGCTAATTGTCGAGACCCACCAGTCTATAATTATACTGCTTGCCACTAGAGGGCGCAGTAGCCATCAATCCCTCACCAGCCCATTATTCTACCGCTTGCCAGCAGAGGGCGTGCTGGTCGTCAAGCCCCACTAGCCCATTATTCTACCGCTTGCCAGTAGAGGGCATGCCAGTCGTCGCTGCTCACCAGCTCATAATTTTACCGCTTGCCACTAGATAGCGTGCCGGTCGTCGCGCCCCACCAGCCCGCAGTTCTACCGCTTGCCAGTAGAGGGCGCGTCGGTCGTCGCGCCCCACCAGCCCATGGTTCTACCCCTTGTCACTAGAGGGTGTGCTAATCGTCAATCCCTCACCAGCTCATAATTCTACCGCTTGCCACTAGAGGGCGCAGTAGCCGTCAACCCATCACCAGCCCGTGGTTCTATCGCTTGCCACTAGATGGCGTGCCGGTCGTCGCGCCCCACCAACCCGCGGCGAGCGCGTGCAGCGCGGCGTCGCGCTCGCGGACGCTGAACTCCAGCACGGTCGCGATCGCGTTGAGCATGTGGCGACGGTCCGCGGCATCGCCGCTCACCATGAAACTATAGACGACGTTCTTGAGGTACTCGAGGCTGGCGTCGCCGCGGCAACGCGCGCGCTCCTCCGCGCCGCGCAGACGTTCGACGAGAAGCTCAGCCTCCTCGCGCCGCCGCTCGCCGTCGGCCGCCGCCTCGCGCCGAAGCTCATGCAGCGCCCTCTCTAGGCGACGCTTCGCCTCGCGCAGCGCGCCGATCTCGACGTCGCGCCGTGCCGCCTCCTCGCTGAAAAGCAGCAGCGGGCCGTCGAGCCGAAGCGCGGCAAGGTCCCCGCTCGGCGACGCCGGCACGTCGTCGTCGTCGGCGGCGGCAACGCGGCGACGCGCGGCGGCGAGTTCGTCGTCTTTCTCGGCGAGCAGTGCGAGGGTGCGCTCGCGCTGCCGCGACATCTCGTCTTCGAGTTCGGCGGTGCGGCGCGCGTACGAGGTCTCCGCCGCGCGAAGTTTGTCGGCGTGCGCGGAGGCGGCGGCGGCGGCGGACGCGCGCAGGCGCTCGCAGGCGACATCGCTCTGATGCAGCTTGGCATCGCAGTCGCGCGTGCACGCGTGCACGCGCTCCTTCAGCTCGGAGATCTGCGCTCGCAGCGCCGTCGTTTCCTTGTTCGCGTTCGAGTCCTGGAACGAACGAAGAATCTGCGCTTAGATGGCGTGGGCGAACGAGTTAGCTCGTTCAACGTTGAGCTTCGTTTAACTTCGTTAACTCGTTTCGAATACAAATTCAGAAGGGTTGGGCTGGGAGCAAGTCTAGAGATCGATTAATCACTTGACAAGCGATACGAATCAATTGGCTATGAATTATGGCTGATACACTTCGAATAGTTTGAACCCGTAGTACAGAGTGATGTGTAGTACTATGAAGTCTGTAGAGTACTGTCGATGAAATTATCACACTTACAGAGCAATGTGATGCTCACTGCACAATATGCTGCTTGATAACTTAAACATGAAAATTACAAGCTTCATCTAAGCTTGACCAACACCCATACATCCGATGCTAGTATTCTAGAATACATAAATATAATGATGACACAATATAACTGATGTCACCAGTTCCGAAAATGCACCAAGCGTACTACCAATAATGACTACCAACTGCGACTTAGTTGGTAGGTAACTGGTTACAGGGTTAATGGGTTAATTATGGAATGTTTTCATTCGATGGTATCAGGTTGGGTTTATGCTTATTTGTGGCTTTAGCATAGCTTATTTTTTTACACTTGCCCTCTTGTTCTTCAGTACGGATTGAGCCCTGAGCTTGTAACGCTCAAATTCTTCCTTCAGCTGTCTGTACTCCTGCTGGCAGTTGGAATGAATGCTCTCCCAATCGCTGCCACCCAGTTCTCCATGGTCGCTGTCAGCTCCAAGCACTTCTACGAATGTGACAAGAGACTCAACAGATAAAATAACGAGACAAGCAAAATGCTACGAATCATTTCTCGTTCAGTGATACTTTATAGGAAAGATATATTTAACGTGAGAAAACAGACTTCTAGGAAAAATATGTGATGGCAATATAGTCAACCTCGCTTAATTCGTATCAGACGGGACCACTGCATTTTCTACGAGTTATGTAATCAACAAATTAGACTTAATTCGTATTTTCCACGAATTCTATTTAATCCGTAGAAACCACAAAAATAGATAGATAATTCGTGTAAACAACGATTTATGAATGAAAGTTAACATTGTAATAAAAAGATCTGTTTGTGCAATGTACTTATGTTTGGTGATTTTTAAATAGACACTTAGGATTCTTTCCCAATAAATGAATTACAAATGTTGCTTGCATAAACAAACATCCCCTACGAATTACGCGTGTCATTTTGAATTGAATAATGTTAATTGGACCAGAGAATTTTGTACGAATTACGAATTACAGAATATGAATTATACAACAGAAATTAAAGGGAATAAAGAAAAGAAATATTGGGACCACGTTTTTGTACGAATTAGGTAATTCTACGAATAAAGTGATGACAAATTAAGCGAGGTTGACTGTATATAACATCAACTAGTACAGCAGCTAGCAAATGGTTGGGAATAGTCATAGTTAGGGAAGATTTAAAAAGAAAAACAGTTCAAATGTCCATTTGCATCCATTTACTTATCAATCATCATGTAAGCTTAATGATAATTAATTAACTGAATACAGGCACAGAGCATTCATATAATTTTGTCACATGATCCTGCTGGGGTTTTATAACAGCTCTCATTCTCGAGATAAGATTGTTAAACATACGTCATGGCCAGTTTTATGCTAATGGGATGAGCATATCTTACGGATACACACACGTTGAGCTCTATACGTATACACTGTGTAGATAAATTTATGAGCTAACAACACCTCTTTGGCCAATTTACCAATATATTCGGTATTATTAGCTCTTCGTACGTTCACACTGAACGACAATTAAAATGGCCGACGCCATCCGCGAGGAGAACTCGACCTCGCACGCGGACTGCGCTCACCGCTCAGGTTGACCGGTCGCTCCGATCGCGCGTTCGCTTGTTTCAGCATGCCCTTCAGCTTGGCGATCCTCTCGATGAGCGCGTTCACGTCGAGGTTCGACGCGTCGTCGTCGTCCGACGCGTCCGTCTGCGTGACTCGGCGCGCGAGTGCGGAGTTCTCTGTATGGAGAGAGAGAGAGAGACAGATCACCCACAGCACAGCCGCATACAGAGGACGACGTAACTAAGCTAGGAGATTACCACCGCTGTGTCTCTGCACTGCTGAGAATGGCAGTTGTTTTAAATAGGCTTGCTTTGCAAAAGCTGAATTTTTTTTTGCAGGGTGGGGTGAATTCCCAGAAACGGCTTCCGAAATTTCGGTCGATATCTCCGATTCCAGCCAGCCCTTCCCCCCTAGCATAAACATATGGAAATAAAATAAATATAAATAAATAAACAATAAACGATAGACACAATAAACATTAAATAAAAACAAATTAAAATATATCGATTTCCTGCCTGCCCCTCCCCCAACCGTCGTCGCCAACTCCACCCTCACGCGCGCTCTCTCTTACCGAGGTCCAGCTGTGAGATGCGCTCCTTCAGCTTGTGGATGGCGGCCTGGTCGTGCTGGCGGTCGCGGTCGTAGCCGCCGACGATGTCCGACAGCTCAGACAACCGCGTCTCGAGACTGGAGACGCGCGTCTCGGACTGCGCGGCGACGACGCCCAGCCGCTGCTCGGCCTCGTTCGCACGCTGCTGCTCCCGCTGCATGGTGATGCGGTGCTGCGCCTGCGAGCGAGACGAGACAAGATGAAACTAATGTGAACGATTAATGTTAACGGCTAACGATTATTAATGGTATAATGGTGAACATGGTGATGCGGTGCTGCGCCTGCGAGCGAGACGAGACAGTCTTGAGCTCAGTCTCATCTACTACGTATCAGTGTGATCACCAACCCCAGTCTCATCTCCTGCCCCACAGTCTCCTGCCCCACAGTCTCCTGCCCCACAGTCTCCTGCCTCGCAGTCTCAAATGCTATCCCTCAGTCTTATCTACTCTACTATCTCTATCTTATCTACTCTTACTATCTCTGTCTTAGCTACTCTACTATCTCAGCCTTATTTACTCTACTATCTCTATCTTATCTACCGTATTTACTCGTATATAAGTCACACTTTTTTGTACACAACTTCAATAAAAAAATCAGGGGTACGACTTGTACACGAGGGTAAGAAATCTTTTTAATGTACTAATGTTTGTGCCAACTTTTCAAGGCAAAATATGGGGTGCGACTTTACATGAATGCGACGTATACACGCGTAAGTATGGTAGTATAACTATAATAAACTAGTAGGTGACACTGCATGCTGATGCAGTGCTGCGCCCGCACGCAGAGAGCGAGACGAGCGCTTGAGCGACACGTCGCAGAGCAGCGAGACAAGACAAAACTATTATCTGTAATAAACTAGTAGGTGACACTAGTAATAAACTAGTAAGTAAAGTGTTATAGAGTGGACGTGACAAAATTATTATCTAAGATGTATGAGTATTATGTACGAGTGAGACAGCGCATGAGCGACAACAAAGTCAACAAAGTCGTCAACAAGCGACAACAAGTCGTAGAGCAGCAAAACAAGATGAAGCTATTAACTGAGATGTGTAATAAACTAGTAGGTGACACTAGTAATAACTAGTAATAGGTAGTAGTAAGACCCATTCTTCTACACCTGGCAAGCACCAGTAAATAAGTAGTGCTACCACTATGCGAAAGAATAACTAAAAACTTGGATTTACGAAAGTACCACTAGAAATCCACAGTCATGCAATAGCAATAATTCATAAGCAAAATAAGCTCAATTAACCAAAAAAAAACAAAAAAAAAACCAACAGAAATAAAACTCTGGTAGTGGAAATAAACAGATAGTAAACGGGAATTGACGGGAGCAGGTCTCGAGGAGCACACAAACCTTCAGTTCGGCCATCTCCCGCTGTAGCTCGAGCATGAGCGGTGACGGCTTTTTCGCGCGTTCCTCAGAGGAGTTGAGCCGCTGCCGCACCTTCTCAAGGTCGCCACTGAGAATGCGCACCTTCTCCTCTTGCTGCTTCGACTGCTCCAACATCGTCTCCGTGGTAACGAGCTTAGTGTGCGCCTGCTCCAGCTGCAGATGAGCAACAGATATATAGCCAGAGGAACAAATGCACACACAAACGAACATGTACTTTGTGACTACTTTCCGCACTGCTTTAAGTCTTTTATATAGTCTTATATAGACTTATATATAGACTTATAGAAACTTATATAGACTTATATGTATCATATGATAGTTTTATTGACAAGTTATATATTTTGGTATATGTTACACTATGAGTGTTATTACAAGCGTTTGACACACATGATACACATTGGTAATGTTGGTGTATGCTACATATAATAAACAATATATAATATTAGAAACATAAATAATATCTTGGGGAAATAGTGTGGAGTAGTTACCTGGTGCTCCAGGTTCTCCTTCAGAATTCTCTCATTGGCTAATAGTTTCTGCATTTCCCGCAACATCATGGAATGGTCTATCTGTTCTTTATCTCTGTCTGATTGCTGTGTTCGTAATGTTGTGGTCAACTAAAATGTAAGATCGAAATGCCTTTGATGACAAATCTGCTAACCTGATGAAAGCCACTGATAACTTGTGCCATTAAAATGCATATATAAATATATATATTTACGCATATATATATATATGTAAATATATATCATAACGTACATCTACCTAATTGATTCCGCATGAGTTATACCTAGATGCACAAGGAACTAATGCAAGTGCAAACTGTTTACCTACTTGATAACTTGTAAATCTAGTAAAAAAATTGTAACTATATACACTGCAATAATTATGGAGGATTATAATCTTATTATAAGTACAAGTAGTTACAATATAACTTTATAAGTTTACACAAAATTTGTTGTACATTGCACACAAAACTTCCTGTATAAATGAACGAACATGTTGCCACAGAAGATGATATACGATATAAGAATCATGTACCTCTTTTACTCTGTTGTTCAAAATATTTATCTGTTTCTCATACTCTTCTTTCTGCTGCACCATACAGTCAGTTAATTCATCAAGCTCTTGCTGTAATAAACAAATCAGTAGTTATCTCAAATGGTTACCATTCATACTAAGAACCCACAGTGTGCAATATTCAGCATCCCCCATCAAATGTACACAGATATCATTTAGTTCATGATCAACTACACAATTAAATTTTAGATATAACCTTGAGCTTTTTCTTGTCAGCTTGATAGTTGTTTTCCATTCTAGACTTCTCTTGTGTGACTGTAGCCAAGGCACTGGTCAGAGTGGCGAGTTTCTCTTTTAACTGCATAGCATTGGTATCTGTGGCTGACTGCTCCACCTTAAATATGTTAGATGAAGTTAATAACACACCCTTTAATACACACCATCTCAAAATGCCACTACAGTGAGAAGCACCTAACAGTGCTTCAAGTTTTACTGAAATTGAAACCCTTCGATTAACCCCACACGTAAAATTGCATACACACAATGATATGTGAGATTAAGAATAAGCAATAAAAAATAAACATAAAATAAAATAGGTAATGAGTAAATTCAAGTAGGTTTTACACTAAGTGATTATTAAATGCAAACTTCTATGATTGGGCAACGCCTACACATGACAAAAGATTACCTGTAGTGGGTCAACAGAAACACTCCTGTTTTCGTCCTCCCCAGCATTGTCAGCATCATCCTCATTGCGGCTGGGTTCTGTCTGGCTGGGCGAATCTTCATTGCCAGGCTTAGACTCCAGGTACGGGCCAGAGCTACTCAGAGCTGTGAGGCTTTCCTCTAGAGCCACCTTCTCTTTTTGGAGGCTTTTGTATGCCCGTACGACATCTGGGAATACATTGACACTCATATGAACTGTCAAACTTATTGAACCCATAAAGACGACAGTATTTGGAAACTACTGGATTCATTCACAGACGAGTGCATTTCAGATATCAAAAGTCATCAATAGCTGGTAAGCTTTTAATAATATCTAAAATATAGTCTACAATATAGAATACCAACCATTATGTTTGTTGTAGAGCATTAAGTAACTATATATATAATAATGACAAGTACATGTGTACATAGTGAAATTACATGAGTTTACCCAAATTAGTTACCTAGAAAATTAATTACCTCTTAGTTTGTTCTCATACTTCTTCAGCTGCTCTCTTTGTGTTTCTACTTGCTGAACAAGTTCTGATTTTGTGCTTCGCTCCATGATGATGTTTTAACTCAGTGCCATACCTACAATAATAATAATAATAACATGATGCATGATGATGAAGAACAAGTGCCGCAGAGCGACAGCGCTCATCTAACGTCTACTGCGGTGACTCTGTGGTGGAGTGGTGGGATTCTAGTAAACCCTGTTAGTCCCAAATGTGTTCACATACACGCGGACAACAGTGGAATGCACAGGGATGGTATCAGGAACCTTCTCTCAAAAGAATGTTCGTTGGGATCGTTATGAAAGTTGCCACGAGATGGCGCGTACGTTTAAGTGTCTTCAGATTAAAGATGGAAGCTCCCATCATACGTATAGTAGCAACAACTATCTGCAAGACAGAATAGGTAAGCACTCATCCATTTACCTACGCAAGCCTACAGCTGCGCAATAGAGAGCTGCCACCTGTAACCAATTAAGGCAAAACTCCACAGTACCACAACACATGCACTGGCAGTAGCCACTGCAGTGGCATACGTTACATGTAACATACTGACACCTACAGAATGCCATATAAATTATACGATTTAAGGAGCATAAAACTTCTTTAACCAAATTTAGCTTTTGAAATTTCACTGTGACATTGTAGCCTCATACATCCAGGCATGTATAGATTCTACTAGCAACCCGGCAGTCAAATTCTTTCTAACAGACAGTCAACAAATCCATGTTTAACCCTCTCTTGAGGGTCAAAAGGTTATCTGACACTTACTCTTCGCATGTCAGCAGAAAGTCAATCATGGTCCTTTCAATATGCCATAAAAATGCCTAGGTCACCGCTGAAACAAAAAAGTTTTTTCAATTGCCTCCGTCAGACCATGTCCTCAGAAAATGTCTAAAATCTGCCCTGTGCCCATTGACTTTGACCTGTGACCTCCAATTTCGGACCAAGTGATGCTTTTCCTACCATGATGCTATACACCGACTATCACGAGCTAGGTCGAGCCCGTTTAGAATTTGTGCCGCACATTCTGCATTTCCTCCCTATACCTTAAGTTAAGGAGTGAATGTTCCCCTTCTTTTACACCTCTTGCCTTTGACCTTATTGACCCCCAGCTTCGACAGCCCAACTCGTTTGGACGATCCCCCCAATGTGCCGATTCGTGACCGTACGTCGAGCGGTTAAGATTTGTGCCCAACTGTTGACGGACGACCGGACGGACGGACGGACGGACGATCATGCGATTCTACAAGCTGCAGGACGGACGGACGGACGATCATGCGATTCTACAAGCTGCATCTGACTATGTCAGATGAGCTAAAAAGGAGAAGAAGAACAACAACAACATTATTATTAATATTCTATTAATCCATAATTAGAAGTTAAATGAGAATTATTGCCAATCCTGCTCTCACCATTATATCCAGTAAAATTTAGCTTAATTATTGGTCTTTATTGGTCTCTCATTCTCACTCTCACTATCTATCACGTATGCCTACTAGCCCGCCAACCGGCACATCCCCTCCCAAACACCTCAATCAGAAGATTGGGGCTGATCGGGATTAATCTGATCTATCTGACCAAAGGATTATGGCCATAATTGGAAGATCATTGCTTGAATCCGTTACTTGAGTGTGCGTAGGTTGTACAGAAACAGTATGAGGGATGCTTTTGCTGATGTAAACATCAGAACAAAGGTTTTGGACAAAGCAGTTTTTGTGTTGAGTAAATCGGATCAAAATATTTCATGCACAAAACACTGCATCGATTACATACAATGCGGATTTCGGGGGGAAAGACGCTTTAAAGTTAATACAATTAAATCAAGTTAAATATCATAAGATAACTATTTGAGATACATGTAGCAGTTCCACTTTTTTCAAAGGAGGTAGAAGATTTACCTATTGATGGGTGTCAGCCTGTCAGGCTATATGAATTGTTAGTCTTGCAGTCTGGTGGACCTAGAAACTAACCTAGAATGTTCACTGGCCTGCAGGGTATAAGGTCATATACCAGCCCTTTTGTCTGGTGTGTTTAGTGCAAGCACTTGGGCAGTCTCAATAATAATATGATGGTAAATAAACACAAGATGTATTTACTACCAAAGTTTTATTGTACATGTGCTATGCTATCTACCACATAACAATTCCACATAAATGTCATTCATATGCTATTCTACAAGACAATCTCACCACATGCATACTACTGTGAACAAACTCACAGAAAGACATGGAAATATTGAACAAATATATAGAAACTATATATATCAGTATATATAGTCGATATATGCTATATATATCAGTATATGTTATTGTTAGCAATGCATCACACTCGCAACGGCGAGTGGCGGGAGCGGCTAGTTCTACATCAGTTTTTGTGAAAGCAATTAAGTTGATATACAGTGACACAGTAGTGGAAGTGTAATAAAGGGGTACTTTTTGTGAATGTGCCGTGTTCATATTATTTTCAGTTTATACTGACGCTGTCCCAAGTGCCTGTGTCTGTGATGCAGGAGCGTATAATAACAAATGTGATTATACACTCCTGTCCTGATGACTATATGTCATGTCATCTAAGTTCATGATACCAACTACTATTATTAATTAGCATCAACAGTATTAACAAGAACATATATATGATGGTTATATATGTGTCCATATATAGTGTTAGTAGGATTGCAGACTACACACAGTACGGCTGAGAGGGTCTATGTCCCCCAGGGTACTGCAGGAACGTACCCTGGTACTAAATACTACTATCTATAATATGTCGGACCGTACCTCGCCTACTCCATTAAGTTAACAAGTCTAGGGAGTCGCCTACGCCTACTCCCTAACCCTAACCATAACCATATCAGCTAGATAGTTACCAGGTAGCTCTAGTACTATAGCCCTCCGCTCCGCCGCAACTGTACGCGGGCTATAGTTACTAGAGCTAGTTACCAGGGTACGTTCCGGCAGTACCCTGGGGGACATATAGACCCTATGAGCCACAGTACGCAGAACGCAGTACACAGTTTCTGCTGTACAGTGTCAGTGGGTCACTGAGGCTCGTAGGGTCCCCCTGGGGGTTCCCTGGGGGTCTGGGGGTCGTAGGGAGGACCGTATGTCCCCCTGACCTCTGTTTGACCTGGCTCGTTTAGCTATTTCTGACTAACCCTATATATATTATATATATATATATATATATATATACATATATTAGTCAGAAATAGCTAAACGAGCCAGGTCAAACAGAGGTCAGGGGGACATACGTCATAGACCTTATCTGCGTCACTGAGCGTACGAATTACGTAACGTTGCCCCGTTATTGCCCCATTGAGAGGAGAACATACTATTACTGATCTGTTTCTGGCTGCCCCCTCATATATTGCGACGTTATAAATTCTATAGAGAAACACGAGACCATGAATGTGATATTGATCTAGTACTGTGACTTATAACTGGAGAAATTCTCATGATATTTGCCAAATAATTTGTGAAATAACATAATATGGAAATAATGACCAATACAACGTAAATAAACCACCAACTTGGCGAGTGATCTACCTGCTGCCATCTATGGGGAGAAACCATAACAATAAATCGTAAAAAGTTTCGTAAGCTAATTTAATAACCGTTTGTGTTATTTGTGATCGCTGTTTTATTTATGATAATATCCACAAATGTCATGCGATTATACCTAATTAGCCATTGTGAAATAGTAGATACGAAATAAAAATATATAGTTACAAACAGTAACCGCCAGATGGCGAGAGCATAGCAAGAAGGATTTCATTCATGTTTGTGAAGTGGTGCAACGCTGCAATATTATTAATATTAGTATAAATATTAGTAATACTATCACTCACATATAATTCTGACGGAAAGAGCCCGTCGAATACACACAGAATATAGCGGCAGTGTTGCCTGACTATAACCCGTTTAAGTTATTTCTATCTGTTATATAATAATAATTAATATGTCTGCTAGTTTAGAAAACGCTGCTACAGAAGTGCAGCCGACAAACCCTTGGCTTCGTAAACAACATCCATGGAGTTCGCCGATTTCAGACCAACCTGAAGCGGCGTACGCGAATTCCTTTCCAACTCTGTCGGATGTTATGTCAGAACAACTGGCCCAAGAATTACAGGAAGAGAAAAGCTACACACCGACGAGCCAACCTGGAATCGCCTCACAAGTGGGTGCTTCACAGGAGCAGTGCGCATTGAGTGAGGAGCAAAACGTCGAGGAACAACGAGAGACAGACAGCGACATGCTGCTCGCACAAATGCTGCAGTAAGTATTATTGCTTTGATAATTTCACAGCTTGCTATCGAATATTCAACACCTAAATCATTTGACAATGGATTTGTAATTGTGTTCTTGATCCGTTCTTTATCGTCATATCGTTCGACTCCCGAAGTAAGTTCTTCAATCGCATCTCTTATTCAATCCAACTTTAGAACCCTAGATTTTAATGGTGAGCATAGGATTTCGTTAGATGAGGGCAATAGTTAGGTGTAGCGTGATAATGATGATAATCTACAAGTATAACACTATAACAGGGTCTTGAACAAGTTGTCAAATTAGTATTGACCCCAGACTTCCTGCTTTTCCATGTCATCCCGATCTTCACGGGTGGTTCGTGCTAGTATAGCAGGGTTTCTTCTGAGGGAAAATTAGACAAAAGGAGGAAAATTGCCAGTTTGGGAAAAAAACGCATGATGGATTCAAATACAGGATGTATTGATATACTTATAGGTATATAGATACAGGATATACTTATCAGTAAATACAGGAACATTTTCACAACAGTGGTGCGCCACTGTGCCTCTTATGTATAAGAAACCCTGTATAGACATGCGTCTAACCGCGTGCGCGTCTGTTCCCAGGTTGGAGTATGACAAGGAGCACGACGTCGAGTTACAGAAGAAAGAAGCCTCGTATAATCGAGGACGTAAGATCACGCTGTCGTTCGCAAACTACCGGCTGACTCACCCGGACCTGTTTGACGACAGCAGTTCTGAGTCGGAGGATTTCGATGAAGACGCCCCCGAGGCTGTCATCAACGAAGACTGTCGCACGATCGGGAAGGGCGGGATAAGCGGCAAGGGCAAGAACATCATAACGAAGCACGACCCGGCCATCTCGGCTCGGAAGAATGCGTCGAAGATGATGGAGTTTGGACCGCACTTTGACACGGGGGATGACATCGACGTCGAAATGAAGTTTCCTAACCACGTAGGCCAGAATAGCAAACGCTTTGTCGCACATGTCCAGCTTGCATGCTTTTTTTCCAATTACCTGCGTGTGGTGGGGTCTATGTATGGTATAAACCAATTTATGTATAACAATGTAATATCCATGTAATAGTGTATTATACCAAATATGTACTGTTCCTTATAATAAATGCTGCTGATAAATGACTCTGAGCACTAATTTTTCTGCTATTGCAGCCATTAAATTAAATAGCATTTTGAATATATATGAATGTGCACGTGGTGATTTGCAGGTTTATAACCAGCTGAAGGTCCACAGTATGTCGGAGCAGAAGAGACAGGCACGAATCCATGACAAGAAGGAGAAGTCGACGGCTGAACAAGCGCTGGATCCGAAGACTCGCCTACAGATCTACAAACTCATCAACAATGAGATCCTGGAGTCGGTCAGCGGGCAGGTCAGCACTGGCAAAGAAGCGGTCATTCTGCATGCCTACGGTGGCAAGTTGCCAGACAAACTTGTGCCAGCTGAGTGCGCGATCAAGGTAAATTAATATTACGTTACATTAGATTAGATTAGATTACATTGCATTGCATTACACTGCATTTCATTGCATTACACTGCATTTCATTGCATTGCATTTAGGGTTTGACACTAATGCTAGTCCGTTAGTCTGAGACTACTAAAAATTAAGAAGGACTAGTAAATGCCCCATAGCCGTTAGTCCTGCGGACTAGTTATTTTCCACGTCCCTCACCGTCCCAATTTCCCATCCTCCCATCGATTTTACTATAGTCCCCGGCGGCAGCTTCTCTCAACCAAGATCCAAAGAGCTAAATATATAACTCATTGCCATCAAACAAGCTTTCCCTGTTTAATAGACGCGCTAGTGCAAGTAGACGCTCTGCACGCTCTAAGCACGCTAGACCCTATGCCAGTACAAACATTGTTAAAAACAATGGGGCCACGAACCAGTCTACCGATCGATCGCTTGACAGTAGCTGTCGACATAGAACAAATGGTCTGATTGTATAAATGACACAACTAATCATTTTATATACGCTCTCATAGCGAGGTATTTACATCGCAACCACATCGCATGCGTATTTTACTTGAAGCTGTCGATACAAATAGTTATCTATAGTAGTGATACAAGTAATGAAGCATAGTACAGGGTTTCTTCTGAGGGGAAATTAGACAAAGGAGGTAATGGCCAGTTTGGGGAAGAAATGCACATGATGGATTCAAATACAGGATGTATTGATATACTTATAGGTATATAGATACAGGATATACTTATCAGTAAATACAGGAACATTTTCACAATGGCGATGTTAAAGGGAGAGTTTACACTAGGTTCTAGGGGTATTTTCAACTAATTTAGGTTATAATTACGCTATATAAAAAGTTTCATGGTTCAATCACCATTAAAAATATTTTTTAAAAATGTTTTAAAACTAACGACTACAGTTTCATTACAACGACGGTGGCGCCACTCAATGCGCACAATCTGATAAGTTGTGCAAAACCACAACAGTAGCCTCTAGGATTTTACTGCATACATCTGTACTTACTGTATAACAAATCGTCTATACCCACACGTATTTGTTACCAGATACCTAATTTAATTGTTATAATTAATTACACATCAACGCTACAAAATTTGAACGGCGCCATGACACCCGCGACCGTGCTGCCACCCCGAAAAAGTTGCGTATTTGACAATTTATTTTGCACGTTACAGACCGAGGGCTAATCACAAAAGTGCAGTTATATTTATACCTAAATGCTATTTAACCGAACGATATTCAGTTTAGGGCAAATTTATCTATATTATAACTGAAACTATATGTCGTTTAGAAGATATTACAATCCTTTTGCTTTTAAATGAATAAATAAGAAACACCCTCAGTCTGTAGCCCTTGGCTGGAAACCTTTAAGGTCTCGTCTGGATTAGCACAAGTTTAAAATGTCCGTGCTGCGCTCTACTGTTTTCTTACAAGACCTCGCATAAGTGCTTGCTTGCTAATCTTTACATTCCAGCCTACCTTTGATAATCACTCTTCGTAATGATCTCTTGTACCCTTCTACGATTTCTAATTGGCAGTGCATCTGACTGAAATTGTTTGCGTGGGTCTGGAGAGATATAATAATATGTAGCACTACATATTATTATATCTCTAAAAACTAATCGAAATAATTAACAGAATTAATAATTATTAATTTTGTTAATTATTTCTATTATGGACTCTTGATAATGTTAAATACAATGTCACGTAGTATGTATAATGTAATATGTAGTCGTTGTTGTGTAGAGGTGTGTTAGTGGTTGTGTTACTGTGTCACCTACAGGACCTTGGACGATGACATCATAGAGAAAACATCTACACGATTCGGTGGACTGTCATGCACCACCGCCTACCACTCGTTAGATTCCAAAAAGACACCCATCATCACAGACGTATGTATCTCTCTCTGTATGTCTATGTTGCTATCTCTCTCTCTCTCTCTCTCTCTCTCTCTCTCTCTTCCTCCCTTCCAATCCCTCCCTCCTCCCTCCGCCTCCTGCCGCTCCTCCCTCCCTCCTCGACCCCCTAACCTCCCTCCCTCCTCTCTCCCTCCTCCGCTCCCTCCCTCCATCTCTCCCTTCTTTCTCCACTTTGCAATGTACCCGTTCTGCTCTGCCTCCTCATCTCTTCCTCCTTTCTGTTCACTCTTACGCCATCTTGTCTCTATCGCTGTCACCCTCTCTCCTTGTTTCTTCTCCCCTCTTCTCTCTACGCCCTCTATGCATTGGTCCATGCTTAACAAAAACCACATTTGTATGACTGAACATTTTATGCGAAACAGAATAATCTTACGCAAGTAATATTCTCATCTTTGAAAAAATGATGTTCGTTTCAGTATAATGTGGCAGACTGTGTACAGTAGATTGTGTATGTAGACAGGTAAACATATGACTATTGTAGGCAGACTTGTGTAGGTGAGATCTGTAGACAGATCAGGCATATATGACTAATGTATGCAGACTGTGTCGTGAGATATGTAGACAGATAAGCGTAATATTACTGAATGTGACAGACTGTGTATGGTAGTATATGTTAAGACAGATAAGCATATAATGACTAATGTAGGCAGACTGTGTAGGTGAGATGATGTAGCAGAATAAGCATATTATGACTAATGTAGGCAGACTGTGTAGGTGATGATATTGTAGACAGATAAGGCATATATGACTAATGTTATGGCAGACTGTGTAGGTGAGATATGCTAGACAGATAAGCATATTATGACTAATGTAGGCAGACTGTGTAGGTGAGATATTGTAGACAGATAAGCATAACTATGCACTAATGTAGGCAAGACTGTGTAGGTGAGATATGTAGACAGGGTAAACATAATATGACTAATGTAGGCAGACTGTGTAGGCGGGATATTATGGCGACAAATATAAAGCAGTCGACTTTTGTGTAGGCAAAGCGTGATTGTAAGGCGTAATTTGAGTAGGTATGTGCAGGCTGTTAGTGTATCAAATTCCACGACAGATGGCGGCTCGTCGCTTCCAATGGCTCAATTCACCACTACCACCTACTCCACCGACAGATGGCGCTCTCGCTCTGGCTCAATGCTACCTGAGTGGTATTATCCTGAGTGTGGGAAGGGGCACTGCATGCAGTTTGCAACTACCACAAGAGATTTCCGTTAACAATTTGTAACACTTTTTTACTAACAGTTTTACAGCAGCCACGTTACTCGTATGCCTATGTAGTAAATTTTGGACTAATAAAGTTGCAAAGGTATTAAAAGAATCCAATCCGTGTTTCATTGTTCATGAAAAATTTGATAAAATATTGATGCGAAATAGTACGCGATGATTGTGCGCCCAGTTCACCCTCGTTCAAATCATAACGCTGTTCACGAATCTGCCATTGCGCTGGATTTTTCCCCGGAGGCTTCGCCGCACTTTAAAAATAGTGGGCTAGAATTGTGGCAGTGGTATCCTGAGTGTACGAAGAGGCACTGCATGCATTTGTTCAATGTTTATATCCTACATTCGATGCCCATCAGATGCAGCACTAACTGAGAATACCATCTGAAAAAATTGTGTTCGTCTTTGAAAGGATTGTATGCTTACTCCACGTCACTTCATTCCTCACTCACTCACTCACTCACTCACGTCACTCACTCCCATCACTCACTATCACTCACATCACGGTCACTCATCACTCACCCGACTCACTCAATCACTCAGCTTCCTTACTCCCGTCACTTCACCCTTACTCACTTAACTCACTCACTCACTAACGCTTCCTAAACTGGACCAATCAATCACTCACTATCACTCACTCACTCACGGTCACTCACAGTCCACTCCCTACGGAGCTCAATCACTCAACTTAGATCATCATCACTGCTGGTCCAAGTCATCAATCAATCACTCCACTCATTCACTCGCTTTGCTCGCTCACAATCAAAGTTCCTCATTCCGCTCACTCACTAAATGCCCTGCATTCCTCACTCACTTACTGCAGCTCACCTCTATTCAGCAGGGTCACCCACTCACTCCACTCACTCGGCGGACTTCCCTTAGTCACTCACTCCATCAAATCAGTCACTCACGGCCACATTCAAAATCAAGTCAATCAATGCAATCAATTCAATCGCTCCCGTCTTTTCACCTCACATCGTACTCAAACCCACTCAATTCAATCAATCAATCAGCTCAATCAATTAATCCATCAACAATTCAATCGCATCCTCACTAGCTCGCTGAAAGTCGCTCCAGCCCTTCACCGCCCTTCCCCTCGCTCGCCTGATCCTAGTGTAGCAGTCACATTTCGGCGTGTTAAGACTCGTAGGCGTGAGCTATATTTATTGAGCTCTCGGTAGCTGGGGTCGGGGCCGAGTCAGTTAACGAAGGACACACACACACACGCACGCACGCACGAGCACGCCACGGGGTCAGCACACACACACACACAGACCCACACACACACCCGCCTGCACACCACACATCACAGCTACACACAGACCATGCAGCACACGCACACCACAGACATGCACACACGCCAAACGCACGCACACGACGCGCGCACCAACGGCACACACACACACACACACCAGCACCCACGCCTGGCACGCCGGGCACGGTCGACCATACACACACAACGACGCGCGTGCGCACACACAACACACACCACAGCGCACGCAGCCGTACGCAACACACACACACACACAACACACCACACACACACACACTACCACGCATAGCACGCACGGACGCACGCACGCACAACCACACGCCGCACATACACACCACACACACACAACACCACCACACACACACACACACAACCGCACGCACACACCGACGACAGCACGCACGCAACCACGCACATACACACACACGTGCACAGCATTCACCGGGGGGGGGGGTGAATGCGCGTCTGTGTAAGTAAATGACGTGCCTTGACTTGCGTCTGTGTGCGCCTTGACTTGCGTCTGTGTGCCCTTGACTTGCCGTCTGTGTGCCCTTGACCTTGC